TCAGGTCTGGTGAACTATGGGCCAGTCCATAGCATCAATGCCTTCGTCTTGCAGGAACTGCTGACACACTCCAGCCACATGAGGTCTAGCATTGTCATGCATTAGGAGAAACCCAGGGCCAACCGCACCAGCATATGGTCTCACAAGGGGTCTGAGGACCTCATCTCGGTACCTAATGACAGTCAGGCTACCTCTGGCAAGCACATGGAGGGCTGTGCGGCCCCCTAAAGAAATGCCACCCCACACCATTACTGACCCACTGCCAAACCGGTCATGCTGGAGGATGTTGCGGGCAGCAGAATGTTCTCCACGGCATCTCCAGACCCTGTCACATCTGTCACATGTGCTCAGTGTGAACCTGCTTTCATCTGTGAAGAGCACAGGGCGCCAGTGGTGAATCTGCCAATCTTGGTGTTCTCTGGCAAATGCCAAATGTCCTGCACGGTGTTGGGCTGTAAGCACAACCACCATCTGTGGATGTTGAGCCCTCATACCACCCTCATGGAGTCTGTTTCTGACCGTTTGAGCAGCCACATGCACATTTGTGGCCCGCTGGAGGTCATTTTGCAGGGTTCTGGCAGGGCTCCTCCTGTCCCTCCTTGCATAAGGGCAAAGGTAGCGGTCCTGATGCTGGTCCTTGTTGCCCTCCAACGGCCTCCTCCACATCTCCTGATGTACTGGCCTGTCTCCTGGTAGCGCCTCCATGCTCTGGACACAATGCTGACAGACACAGCAAACCTTCTTGCCACAACTCGCATTGATGTGCCATCCTGGATGAGCTGCACTACCTGAACCACTTGTGTGGGTTGTAGACTCCGTCTCATGCTACCACTAGAGTGAAAGCACCGCCAGCATTCAAAAGTGACCAGACCATCAGCCAGAAAGCATAGGAACTGAGAAGTGGTCTGTGGTCACCACCTGCAGAACCACTCCTTTATTGGGGATGTCTTGCTAACTGCCTATGCTTTCCACCTGTTGTCTATTCCATTTGCACAATAGCATGTGAAATTGATTGTCAATCAGTGTTGCTACCTAAGTGGACAGTTTGATTTCACAGAAGTGTGATTGACTTGGAGTTACATTGTGTTGTTCCCTTTATTTTTTTGAGCAGTGTAAAATAATTACGTATTTTCTTCCTTGGAACATGAAATTTAATGGAAGAAAATGCAAGAAAAGAATGTAAAAATATATTTAATGATACATTTGGAGAGACCTATAGCAGTGGACACAAGGCTGGATTTAGAGAGATGCAAATTGCCAGCTTCCATTATATAACATTTTTTGCAGTATTTCCTGCCCTTTTTCATTTAATCTTAGGCAGGGGAGAAAGGATTTGCAAGCAGGAAATAATGGGTCACTTTGTTCTTCTTTTTTTGAAGCTGCTTTTCATGGTCACCTATGCAGCTGCAGAACTGTGAATAACCACATGCTATTTTCTGAGTCTGTAACCCTTTACACAGCGTACAAATATGTAGCTGGTTGTCAGACCGAAAATGAGAACCACTTCACTTAGACTGCTTTAATAGGGCTTAGGGAAAGTACATAAAATATTAACCAGCCATGACTTTAAACTCACTATAACTACCACCATAGGTATTATTGTGGTTCTTGATTGAGTGATAATCACAGAGGACATTGTGTTAATGCCTTTTTATCTATTTATTTTATTCAAGACAAGGTAAAATACAAAACTCCAAACAAAAAATTCCACAGAAAACAAAAAAGAAAAAAAAAGAAAAAACAAATCATTAAAAAGTGCATCTAAAAACAAGAACAACAACACATAAACAGATATAATCACGTCTGGTTGAATACTGATTAATACACTACTATACTATTAGTTTCCGCCCCTGGTCAAACAGGCCCTCTCAAAAATTTTAAACTACTAAAACAATTTGCAAATTATTGACCCGCTTTCTATAAGTTATACAGTAGTTAACAGAAAGAACAGTAAAACAAAACAAGATTAAAGTTTCAAAACTCTCTGTTAACAAACTTGTTATTGTAATGCACTCCAGGAAAATTTACCCTGGCATTTTATCTATCTCAAATCATACCAAAAGTCATAAATAATATTTATGGGTGCCTTTTGAGCACCCATAGCATTTAGGGAAAATACCTGTGGAGAAAGAACCTCGTAAATTAAAAAAAAGAAATTTAGCATAGAAGGTGTGTATCCAGCTGTGTTCATTTTAGCTGATGTTCTACTTTAATTAGTCATTGCAACTGCACAGCTGATGACAGGATCTTGAAGAGAAATAAAGGACATAAAATTGCCTGTATCTACAAGTTCTTGCACGATCCCACGATCATGCCACAGATGGATCGTTTGAATTGTTGAGCACTCTCATGTAAGATCCCACCTGTATTCTGAAGTGGTACAATCCAGAAAGCATTGAGCAGACTGTAAAACATTACCCAGGCCAGCTGCTACTGTTTCATTGCTGGGGGGGAAGCTTTCAACAAAAAATGTGATTTATGACATTGTGATATTAATACAAGAGTTGCATCATGTATACCAATGCTCTTTGATGTGTCATCCAAAGCACCCACACTGGGCTTATGCTCAGGCTGTGCTGCCAAGGAAATGTAAATTCTTTCTTCTGTACCCCAATATGTTTGGGTTAAATTAGGCCTTCAGGGCACAGCTTTTGTGAATCTCAGCTTTGTTCAATGGCAACTGGATTCTCTGCCTCTTGATTTTGTTTATTGTTATTGCACTGTTCTCTCAGTTTCCTCCTGTGAGCCGGCAGTGATTGGGTTAAATGCACTCAGTGAAGCCCAGTCTTTGTGATCAGAAGAGCCATGTCATTGTATGCCTCCTCTCTAGCATTACAGGGTTCCTGTTTTTGTTTTTCTCAAGAGACACTGGGAATTTCCCCACTAGTACCTTTGAGTTTGCTCCTTTTATTTAAGCAAACGTGCTTGTGCATTTTAAAGGTAGGCAGGCTGTAGAATCATCCTAAATGCTTGCATTGTTCCTGGATTTCAATCTCTTCAGTAAAGCCAGGTTGTTGTTTTTAGTAAAGCTCTCTCAATAATCCTTGCAAGGCTTGGATATGTGCTTCTGTAACAAACATATTGTATTTCTTCCTTGGGATCATTTTTGTCCAGCCCTTCAGCACTGTAAGTCCAACACAAGAGGCAACAACAACAAAACAAACTCATGCAAATCCATACAACTGACCTATAAGTGGGAATCTTGTTCATTCAATGAATGGGCCTGTTGAAAGAAATATCCTTCTGGGTTCAGTTCCAAGTGGGGGGAAAAGCCACTGGAAACATGGAGGCTATTTGGAAAGATGGTTTAATGGTGGACAGCAGGACCACATGGCTTGGAGCTCCAAAGTGAAAAAGAAAGGAGGATCACATACTTCAAGGTGAGAAGGTCAAGAAGGGAAGACCAAGATGCTGAGAGACCCTTATATAACCTCTGTTGGACCCCACCTTAATGTTTCCTGTTCCTGTGTAAAAAATATATCCCATTGCCTGTCAGACTCCCAGGGGTGGGGGTCTTAGCTAACTTTGTAGTCTTTGTCTGGAGTACATGGCTTCACCTGAGTGTTGGCTGATACAATCTTCCCAGGCCTGGTGGTGAGATGGGTAGACCATTTATTATGTAGAATACTCTTGACCTAGGCCTTAATGGCCCATTAGCAAAGGGGGGGGGCTGAGTTTCTGCTTCTCTGAGTTCCTACTTTACTCTTTTTAGGGGAAATATTCTGCCTTTTTAATATTTCCCAGGATATTTCATTTTTCTAGGAGAGGGGTGGGTGCTAACTTCCTACAGGCCTTACCACCAAGCAACTTCTTACCAATTTACCAACCCTCCTCAGTGAGACAAACTCAAGATATACACGTATGTTCTTCAGTTGTAACATGGTTTGTTTAGTTTAGAACACTAGTTTATGAACAATGGTCAAGTTTATATAAATGATATAGTTTATAAATCATGGTTTGTAGCTTACTTTGCTCTTTTATTAAAGCATGCTATGGACTGTGAACCCAAGCATAGGGCTGTAGCTGGCCTCAGTGAGACAAACTCAAGGTATGCATGTATTTTATTCAGCTGTTAACATGGTTTGTTTTTAGTTTAGAACACTAGTTTATAAATCATGTTTAAGTTTATATAAATCATGTTCTAGTTTATAAACCATGTTTTGCAGCTTCCTTTCCTCTTTTATTAAAGCATGCTATGGATTAGCACACTGTGAACCCAAGCAATAGGGCTGTATCTTACGTTTTGTATGGTATTACAAACCCCAAAGCAAGAACAAGCTTTTCACAGCCTTGTGTCTTCCATTGCATAATGACTACAATGCCCATTAAATCAAAGCTGGCAAGGCTGAACTGATTGGGAATAATGGGAGTTGGAGTTTGAATATCTGGCGGATTTGTGGAAGGATGGAACAAAGGCGTTGCGCAATGAACACAAACCCCCATCCCCCAAAAACCGAGATTGGACTTGAACAATTTTTTGCTCCCATTTTTGGAAGCAGCTAAACGAAGGATGATGCGTTCCCGCAGTTTTGCTTCTGGATTTCGACAAGTTTCGTGAGGAAAACTGCGCTCTTTTTTTTTCTTTCTTTCTTTTTTTTTTTGTGCCTTCTTCCTTCGCCGGGAGCTGCAAAAGGGGGGCGTAACCGCTCTCGTGCGCGCGCGCTCTCCCCGGTTTCCTTGACAGAGGCGCCTCTGATTCGCTGGGGACGAAGCCCGGCCTCCAACCCTCCAGCTGGACTTGCGCCTCCTCTTCGCCCCGCCCCTTTACCTTCTAGGGTTCCTCCCCTCACTCGGAGACTGCCCGGAGATGAGGACGGGAGAGAGGCGCTCCGATTGGTTCGCGCTCTTGCGGCGTTTCTACTGGCCGGTCGGGGAGCGAGGGGGCTTGGTCGGAGCGCGGCGATTGGCCGCGGCAGAGGGGTGTGCGCGAGAGGCATGGAAGTGGCTGTTCCTGGGCTGGCGAAGCCAAGCGGCGCTGCTGGAAGGGGCGGGGGGAGGGGGCGGCGGCCGGAGGCGTTTCTGCTGGGGCTGCAGTCGCCGCCGCTGGGCTCCGAAACCAGCCGGACCCTAAGCCTTCCACCGCTTCCCTGCTCTGCCCCCGCTCGCCGGCTGCACCATGAACAGAAGCAGCGGCGCTACGTCTTGCACTCCAACGGTCCCCGGCGACGGCCACAGCAGCGGGCACGGGCGCAGCGAGTGCCGTCGGGTCTGTAGCAACTGCCGGAAAGTCCTGAGGCAGGTGGGTCTGCCCTCTCTCTTTCTCTCTCTCGGTCTCTCACCGAAATGCCGGGTTTGGGGGGGGGGGTTTCCTGCTCCGCCTGCCTTTCCCCGGTGCCCTTCTTCCGGAAACGCAGGACGACAGCACCCATTATCCGCGGCACTGGCTGAGAATGACGGGTTATAGTTCGGCACCCCTGGGGAGTGCGGGGATCCGGCTGAGGGAAGGTGGCTGGGGCTGCTTCGCTCCGGCCACACCTCCTCAGAAGGGCTTTGAGAAGGTAGTTGGGGAGAAATAATAAATAATAATAATAATAATAATAATAATAATAATAATAATAATAATAATAATAATAATAATAATAATAATAA